ATATTTATGATGTTATTGTCTTTATAGGTTTTTTTTATAAATTCTACAATGATAAGTGAACTGCAAATAATTTTACAATTGATAAACGAATTTGCTAAATTTAGTGTTCCATTAGTTGTTTTGATTTTCTAGCAACCTTTACTTTTGTGTCGGTGATATAGTGTGATGTCCTTACTGGGTTAGTGTAGTTCACCTCTTATTTAACCATTTCATATCAAAAGGATCTGGTTCTCGAGCTCGATCCGCAAGAAGACTGCGAGTAGATGCTAGATACTTTATATTTTTCTTTACTTTTCTCATTTTTCGTATTTCTTTCAGAGAATTTATTCTGTGATATTTATTTAGTACTTTTAAGTTATCGTGTAAGGGATGTAGACCTTAACATTTTATTTCGCTTCCGCACTTAAATTATTATATATTTATTTTTGGATTTCCAAGGTCGTTATAGAACAACTATATTTATTTATTATTTTTTGAATTACTAAAAATAAATAAATATGAGAATAATTTAAAAGTAAATAACACTTCGAGTAATTTAACATAATTTTTTTCATAATCCTTCTCAATGGCATAGGTTATTCAAAAATAGAAGTCCATAATTTAATTAGACGTTACTCAAACCACTTACTAATCGTGTTGGCCTTAGCCAAAGGTGTTACCCTTGATCATGGTAAAGTAAGTCTTTTAGGCTCGAGGCCTCATGGTGAAGGAGCAATCTTTTTTTGAGTTCATCAAAAAAGGCTAGGATATAGGAACTGGAACTAGAGAAAATCATTTAGTAGGTAAAAATAACAATTGCACCGATGTTTTTAAAACATATAACAAAAAGGTATTGCACAATGTATTAAAAGAATTAGTATTACAAAGACAGAATTGGAGAGATTAACTAAGGCTAGTGAGATTAATATGACTCGAGAGGATATTAGATAAAAGAAAATAAGATTAGATGAGCTTTACCATTAGAAAGAAATTATGTGGGTACAACGTTCTAGAGTGGACTAATTGAGGTGGGGGAATCATAACATTTGTTAATTTCATGCACGTCCAACTGCAAGAAATAAGCAAAATATAATCTTAGGGATTATAAATGAAGATAGTGGGTTGAAACATACCCAAAGAAAATCGAACAACTATTTCATTAAGATATTCAATGAGGCAAACACAGATAATGTGTTTCTGGCCTTTAGCTATGTGGAATCTAGAGTTACAACCTTTATGAATGCTCTCCTACCAGAACCTTACACTATAAAAGAGATATTCACGACTCTACAATAAATGCACCATAACAAAGACACTTAGCCTAGATGGTATATCCCCTATCTTTTATAAAAAATATTAGTCAATTGTCAAATCTAACATTTCCAAGTTTATTCTAAACGTCATTAACAATTGTGCTCCTCTTAATAATGCGGATTACACTTTCATCGCTCTCATTCCTAACACCTTTAGATTATAGGTCTATTAGCTTTTTCAATGTTGTTATGACGTTAGTTACTAAATCCATTGCAAATAGATTAAAGGGTTTCCTTTCTAATATCATTCACCTATCACAGTCGACCTTCATTCCTGGCAAGTTGATTACCATGCACTTGTTGTCCTTGAGCTTTTTCACTTTTTAAGAAGTCATTCAACATCTAAACGATGGTATTTTGCTTTAAAACTCAATATAAGTAAAACATATGATACAGTGTCTTAGACTTTTTGAAACATATATTACAAAAATTGTATTTTTACGAATTCTTTGTTAATCTAATAATGAGATAAGTTACTTCAGTTATTTATGTTCTGTTAATTATTAAAAAACTAAAAAATATTATTTATCCATCTAGAAACCTCTAATAGAGGGATCTTTTATCTCATTATTATTTTTCAGTTTTTATAAGGAAGTAGAATGACTTGGACGAACCTTACACAGTCAAAATTGGTAAAGGGCCCCATTGATAAGCCATCTGCTTTCTCCGGATGATTGCCTTATCTTTGGTAGGATAAATCAAACAAAAGTTTAAGGAGTCAAAATGATCATAAAACAATATGAGAAAGCATAAATTCAAGTAATTAACTTTTTTTAAAAATCTACTATCTTGTTTGCTAAAAGCGCTTATAAGAAACTTCAAGTGACTCCGAAGTAGATTTTATGTTTTAATATGGTAAAAACTCAATCTCAATATTTGAGACTCCCAACTGTAGTGGATAGATTATTTATCAGACACTTTCAGTAACATAATGAACAAAATGGTAAAGAGGAGGCAAGGCTGGTAAATGGCAACTTTTTCCCGTGCTGGAAGAGAAACAATACTCAAATTGATAACGTATGCAATTCTTACCTACCTTATAAGTATTTTTCTCTTACTCAAATCTATATCCTTGTAGATAGAATGGTTAATTTTCAGATTTTCCTTGGCAAAAATATTGGAGGTAGTAAGATTCACTGGCTTGCATGGTCAAAACATAAAAACAAGAATAGACAAGAGATATCATGTAGATTCATCTTCTTAAACCCATGTGAGAAATTAAAGGTATATTTATATACGCATAGACATATATAAACCCGAATTAATATAATATATATATATATATATATATGCACATAATAGATCATTCCTTTCCGGCATTAGGTAAAGAGGGATAACAATGCAGAAACTTGTTTGAAAATTTATAACTCCAAATAAGTTTTTAATTCATAAAATTTGAGAATTTAGGTTTTATTTGGAATAAATAAATTATTCTTATAAAATATATTTTAAGATTTTAATTGTATAAAATTTTTGTATCATAAATGCATGGTCTCATATTCTCTTTGATTCTTTTATGTTAGAATTTCAATTCCTTGTAAATAATAATAATATATATATATATATAACTTTTAATTTCAAAAATTGAACAGTGAAAGTCATAGACTATAGATTATCGTACATATTAGTTCCTAATTGTTAAATTGGTATATGTAAAATTTTGTGAAATAATTAATAATTAATTTTGATTTAATAAATTTTATTATACTGATATTTATTATATATATTTATATAATTTAAACAAAACTATTAAAGTATTATAGTTAATATTTTCTAAAAATATCCGCAAAAATTAGTGCCTAATGAAATCATCGAAGCAGTTAGCAGAGTTTCTTGTGGTGTATTAATTATATATATATATATATGGAAAAAGCAATCTCTTTGAAGAAATATGTTCATGCTTCCTGCAAAGAAGGAATTGGATTCTAAATGATAGTCTCATGGAATGATCAAGAAAAAAAAAAACACCTACATCTATACGTACATATATACATATACATATATATTATGTATTCAGGCAAAGAATGCAGGTGAAGTCAAATCTCCTCATCTTTTACTGGTCCCATTAATTTATATATATGATACACTCTATGAGCTACTAACTGATCTTTCCTTTTAACTTTTTAATATATAATATATATATATATGTATATATATGCATACACATATATATTTATTAATCAGAACTTTCGGTGAGGTAATGGTAGGTATCAGATCCAATTCCAGAGTTTCAATGTTTGAAAATTTGGATTTGTCAAAATTTATTGGAAGACCAAAATATTCTTTTTATACCTACCAGACTAATCAAACATGCATGCATGCATATATGCATATATACATATATATATATATATATATATATGTTTATATGATCCTCTTTTTCACAACATCAAATCTATGTTTGCAATAGTGAGTGTGATAGGTTAAAGATATCATATCTTTCTTTGTTTAATGTTTGAAAATTTAAATAATTTTAGGTAAGTTAGTGCACAATCTAAATTAGATTGCATAGGTTTATTATTTACTTCATTAAAAGGTGATTGATTATACCGTTCATATTATATTTTTACTTTTTTAAATCAAAAAATATTTCTTTCCCTCCATAAATTAAAGGTTGAACAATATAAAAATAACATATATATATATATATAAAAGTTTGTAATAAAGAAATTATACTACTCATTTATTATTTCTTTCAAATCTATCATTAGCTATGAAATTGTCACTGCCATCTGCCAATGATATATATAATTGGAAAACACCTTTCCACCATTGTTTGTCAATATATATATGTATATATATGTGTGTGTATGTATAATTATTATACATCACCAGAAAAGACCTTTGAATTGCTTTATCACTAATTAAAAATTTTGTATCCTAAAGGATGATTACAAAAAATAAAATAAAATGGGTATTGCAAAATTCATACGAGTCCGAGAATTAGATAAATATATAATTAAAAATACGAAGGTACCATATTATATATAGACCATGGTTAATTTTATTTTATTATCAATGAAATTAAAGGGTACCCGACATATCATGTGATGTGGGTATCTCTTAGAGTTATATAGTTTTTTTTATTTAATTTTATTCCATAAGTCAATTAATACATACATATATATATATATATATTTTGGAAGATCTTTTCTTTCGGGTCATGAATAAATTAGTCTCGTTCGTGGAATCAATTCAATTCCCTTTTGCATGTTACTTGATTTTGACACAACCAGATCAAGTTATATGAATATATAATTCTCCTTTTTTAAGACCGGAATTAATACCCCTATAAACTCCAAAAACTTAATAATCTTTTCCACTCACCTTGGATTTTGGCCACATTGATCCCCCCCAATTGCCTCCAATTATTAGAGCCGATTAGATATTTCTCCGTTGTAATTTATTTTCTCAGAATTTCTTGGTGTAATGTTCTTCATTCATCCATCCACAATAAGAGAACCAGACATATTCAGTGCATTGTTACGTTTCTATCAAGTCTATGGAGATTTTATTTTGTGTGAATCTCAATTTTGGAATTCTTTTTTTCTAAGGTGTTATGAAAAGAGGAATCTTCCATATGCACTGACAATCACATTAAATTGATAATATAGAAAATTAACTTTTAGAAATTTTTGTTTTCCATGCGCTATCTTATTCTTCTTCGAAAGCAAAACATGGGATGAAATGACTAACGCAGTGTTTAAGGCCGAGTCTATCATCTAAATAAATGCAAGTAAAAAATACTCGGGCTATAGAAGCATGAACTCTGCATTTGAGTTTACTGTCCGTAATCTCTCAAGAAAAATAGTAAAACCCTATACCGTTTGAACTCCATTATTGTCGAAAATCAAAGATTTGATTCCGACCAAAAGATCACAACAGCTTAAACTGTACGATCCCCGCAGATGCACACGAACGTTCATCAGTAAGAACATCTGAGCTAACAGGATAAAAATAAATATGTTGCTGGTTATCGGTATGACAAAAAATGAACTGAATAATAATCACTGTACAAAAACGTGCTATTACCGATTAAAAAGGTGAGCTAATTTATGAGTTGCATCTATCTGAAATCTTCTTGCAACACATAGATAGACAAGGCGTGTTGAGCAATAAATTTCTTGATAGTACCCGCTCACTCCCCAGTCCACTTGTTAAAACCTTCATGGATTCCCCATGTAGACTGGCTATCAGCAGGTCTTATCTGGTAAAGAAAATGTCTCTTCGCTTAGTAAAGCATAAAATGAACTGAAAAAATGGTGGGGGAGAGAGTCAATATAACTTCTGGTCAAACAAATTAAGTGAAACTTTTAAGTAACACTGAATGAAACCCATTCTTGTCTCGGACTATTCTCAAACTGTTGAGAATTATTAATATCATGATAGCTACATTATGACAGTCCCACAAACTCTCAGGTTTTTCACAGTCCATAGGAGCAGACATTTTAAACTTATCAGACTAAAAGCATTAGCAATGGCAACTTTTTCTCATTGTGCTTCTGCAAAGCATCATTCTTTCGCTGTTCTTCATGTCAAACAGCACAGGATTAGTGTTGGCCGCATACCCAGATAACCTCAGCCTCCCCAAGATTTCTCCTGCTTCTTTCTAACATTTATTAAATTTTAAATCTTCCGGATACATCTTTTATTCGCAAGCGGGATTTTTAAGTTTTAACACCGACAAATACTCAAGTAACAAGAATGCCAAATGGGGGGAAATGCATGAAGACGAACAAGAATCTAAACAAAAAGAAGGACAATTACAATGACAGAACCTAATTGACTTTTCCAGCAACTATGCGCCAAATGACAACACTGCCTCATTATTACAAAATCACTGGCTTCAAATGTAACGTACAGATACTACTAAAATTTGGACGTTACTCTCAAATCCAGGACACAATTTTTAACAACCCAATGCGTGTTCTGCAAAACATGTTATTATATGTGTTTGTAATCACATTACAGGATAATGCAGAAGCTTGTTATTTGCCTACAGCAACCTAAGAACTATGTTGCTTCCTTGTTAGTTCCTGTTTAATTAAGTGCACAGTAAGACATAATACGGACTTCTTACTAGCATACAAACACAATAAATTGCATCTATACATGAGAATGAAAGACATAAAAGTATATAAAAGGCCTAAAATACTTACATTCAGGAAAGACGGCGCCACAAAAGAGAACATGCATATCGATGTCATTTGAAAGAAGCTCAAAAGCTTGGCATTCAATGGACTGTTGAGATTAATTTGAATTTTGAAGATTTATGAATGCTTAGATTCATTGCAAGTGCTAATTTACGTATTTATTATTTTTGAAGTACCTGTAGTACCTATATATATATCCTTTATAACTGAGTTTGTCAAACAAGCAAGATATATGTATAACGCTTCTTCCTAAGCGCCTCTCTTCCATCTAACATGGACACGATGGTATCCTCAAGACCCGTCTGTCTCATCAAATTTTCAGGTCGATTCTGGAACCTCATTTCCTTTGAAACTAAGATAAACATGATTCTTTGAGTCAACACCGTTTTTTCATAAACAAAAAAGACTTCTAACCAGCATCATCATAGCCACTCCGTCCACGTAATTACTCCATATGTAACATTCTTATTCTTCATACTCCAAAACACTTCCATTGCCTTGTTTATTTCCACATTTCCCACACACTGCCATGTTAATCTTGTTTCCGCCTAGATAAGTATTAGCCCATGTCCACTGATCAAACAAAACAGAAACCATACACCTCATTCACCTTAACCATCAAATGGAACAAATGAAATGCTTTCCTTGACTTCCCACATTGCACATATCCAGAGATTATCGCATTCCAAGTAATAGGATCCCTTTGAGGCATTTTCTCAAACAACTTTGTCGTGGAAACAATGTTCAACCATGGCTCGTTTTATATCCCAAACTGGGATCTTGAATTGATTCAAGCACTTCCTGGCAAGAAACCGGACAACCAAATTCACGGTACGTAAAAACCAACCCGCTTTGAACATGTAGGCCCCCATGCCCAAACCCTTTTTTTCTCACTGCACTGTGAACCAAACAGCCCAATCGCGAGCCAAGAAATTGAGGATGTCATTATTGGGTGTATAAATTTTATTTGGAATGAAGAATTCTGCTGTAGAATTGAAAGTTTTTTCTACGTTGAGTTCTTGCATATGCTCTGTTCATGGAGTTTGCCGAGTTCGTGCTCTGGTCTACGAGTTCGTCCTCAGTTCAGGCTGGTTTGGTTTATCATGGTTGATTTTTGAATATGGGCCCGGAAAAATGATATAATTGCTAGATTAATTCACTCGTCCCTTTGATTTTGCACTTGTGGGTTGGGCCACAGTGCTTTTTTAATTAATTTATTAAATATGGATTTGGAAATTTAATGGAGCAACCGAGCCCATTAAGCTCTTTTGCATATTTGAAATATTTTGTATGATAAATTATTAAATTATTTAAAGTTTTACATTTATTATAATTTGATTCTTAAAATTTTTTAATTAAAATTTAATCTATAAATTTTGCATTTGTTTCAAACGTTTAATTTTCTTCCATTTTGTAGTTAAAAAAAAGATAAAATAGTTAAGTCTTATTTGAATATTTTGAAAAAAAAGGTCAAAATGAATTTAATTAATTAATTAATCAAATTAAAATCAATATTAAAAAATACGTATAATATTATCAATTTAATTAATTAATTAAAAATATTTTAAAATTATTTAAAAATAATCGAAACAATATAAGGAGTGACTCTATCTGAGTTGATACATAAAGCGATAGATAAAAGAAAATATTTGAAATACGACTGCCAATAACCTAAAGTAAGTGGATAATATTGATTCATTAACTTATATAGTTTTAAATTATTTTATGAATTTTTAGTATAAAAATGTATAAGTAGATATTGTGATATTATGATTTACATATTTTTTGAAAATATTTAATTTATACTTTCGTATTTGTTAAGTAAGTATTTATTAAAGTTTTAATTTAATATAAGTGTTATTTTATTTTTTGTTTTCAAAGTGTGATTTTGATATATATGCATAACTCATTATAGAAATGAGTTGTTCTTAAAGTACTTGCATTATCCTACGCTCCAATATGATCATACATAATTATTTCGTGTTCAGGTATATTGGTAAAGTGATAAGTGTGTCCCCGTACATAATTGTTTCGTATTCAATTATATAGGAAAATAGTGTGATCTGCATGCCCTAACCGTTCCGTGTTTGGGGGGTAGTAGTGTTTCAAAATACTTATATATATCGTTTCATGTTTGAGTACATGGGGAACCAATGATAAATATGTGTGCCTACGTATAATGTATAATAACTTATTGATCATCTATAATAGTGATGAAGTATAAAATGAAGCAATTGAGAATCTGTTTTCTGATTTATACATTTATCTTGATTTATACATTCATCTTCTGATTCGTATATTTGTTTTTTTTTAAATATTATACGATATATCTTTATGTTGTATGTAAAGAAAACTATATATTGCATATACTATGATGTGATTTCATAATATTACTTACTGAGATATTTTATTTTATCTCTTATCACCCTCAAGATACCGAAGATACTGCTGCAGAGTGAGCGATGATACAGCGAAAAAATTTTGAAGGTAAAATCTGATATTAAGGTTACTGTTTTGTACTCTTGTTTTGTAATGTAAGTAAGAAAGCCTACAATCTCGTAAATATATTTATGTTTTACATTTAACGGATGTAACACTTTTGTGACTATGTTATGATTAATAAAGTTAAGTTATTTCACTTAACTCAAGTTTATATAACTTAAGTAAATATTGTAAAAGCCCAAAACCCCTTTTTGGGATTCTAAGCATTTAGCCGGCTCATAATAACAAAGATACTGAAATTTCATTTAGCAGAAGAATTAAAAGTTCAAAAATTATATTTCTTGCACATTTACTTAAAATGCCCAAATAGAGGCTATGGGAATGCTTTGGAACTTGAAACGAGAAAGAAAAAAAAACAATAATAAGTAAATATTTTTAATCTCTATTCGAAATTGACAAAGGGGAAAGAGGTAGTTATTTGTTGGTCTCTTGTTGTTCATGATCCCGGTCTTAGTCGTCCTGATCTGAAATGGTTAATAAGAAATGAGTGACCTACAGTATCTTAGTAAGAATATCAACGCCTTACCACTGATACGGAAAATCAAAGGATTGTAAAAAATATAAAATAACCAATGGAGCATGTTTTAAATAAAATCTGAATGTTAATGCATCACTTATTTGTTTTATCGAAAACATTATGTTCCCTTCCTCAACTAGTAGTCCTTTAACCATATCACATCAAAATAAAATCAAGATGATAATGAAAAGTAATAAGTATACATTCTATGACACGTTTTATTGAGTTCTTAACCATTCATCCATAGTCAAGTTACTTATTATATCCATTCTCGTCATGTCATTCCACTTTTTTCCCTACTGATATCGCTGGGGGCCTATAAGAATCCCCGTTATACGTAGAAACCAAACATTTTTTTATTTCATCAGTCATCCTCATACCTTGTCTAGTAACGGGCACTACGATTTAAACACCGTCTCAATACCCTGTCCGATATGAATGTAATAAATTATTTCTAACTCTGTCCAGTATGGGACTTCCTAGCCCAATACGACCGAGGATACGTCCACGATAGGGTGAATCCTATGCATCAAATCTGTACACTCTCTCCTATGATCCTAGTAGACCTTTTTTATCAATTCACACATGCGTATTTTCTATTTGTATTTAACCCATATAAGATTTGTGCTTCAATTAATACTAGAATATAAAATGCATGTTTCGAAACTCGTTACAAATGTAAATAGAACGAAGTAAAATATCGTGATAAAATAAGATCTTTTATATCTAATATTATGAACAACAAAATGAAATAAATAGATTAGGGCGAAACTAACAAGACAGGATACGATAAATAAGTAGAACGCAATAAATAAACAACACAGAATGAAAAACATATTGAGACCAATACAACGATTCAAGATAAGTATTTAATACATTAACTATAGGCGAACATGGTGAGATGAAAATAGGTTAGACCAACATAAAAGAAATAGGAGGCTTCAAAATAAGAAAATAAGCAAGTAATAATGGAAATAAAATAACAAATACAATCAAATAAAAATTGAAGCAAGAATAGCAAATAAATAGCGTTAAGTAAAGTTAGTGACTAACAAAAATAATCATTTAACCAGCTCCATCAGCAACTTGTATTTTAATTATCAAGAATTCACAAAACAATTTAGAATCGTTATTTAAACTCCATTAACTTTAATTTAACCATAACAGGAAAAGGGTTGAGGGATTCTTACTCTAGATCGGTGTGCAAGACACTGCCTTTTTCACTACGGTTCGTAACGGTTCTCAATTTTTGAATTTTTTGGATTTTTCAGGGGTCAAGTTGGGGTTCCGGCACTGATCTCCACCACATGATCATCCTTCTCCGACGCTTTTTCCTCTGGGCCAAACCAATTTTGGCAGTTCCTAGTGAAAATTTGTTTAAATCGTGGTTCGGGGGGTGTCTTACGGAGAAAGAGACCAAAATCAGCCTTACTGGGCAGTTTTCAATCTCTGGTGCGGCGGCACAACTGTGCTTTATCGTCTCTCTCTCTCGGGTTGCGGTCTTTCTTAATTTTTTCTGCATTAGAGTTAGTCTAAACTACCAAAGGCAAAAAAATAGGGGGAACAGGAAAAAAAATTATGCTCACTGGCACGTTTTGGTCTCTAACACGGTGGCGCCGATGTTCCTCCGGTGGCTACGCTTCTCCTCTAGCCACCCTTTTTCTTTTTCTCTGGTCAAGATGTCGATTAGGGTTTCGGGGAGCCGACCAAAAGAGGTTTAAATACCTCTCATTCTTCAATCTGGGTCGTCCGTGCAAGGCCACGTGGAGCAACGAAGGCCGTCCGATCTGGCCTATTTAGGGCGTTTGGATTTTCCTCCCGTGTGCCTCTTAGATCGTTCGATCGGTCAATCCTGTGAATCTGGGCCGTTGATTGTGTGACCATTGGATCCATCACGTGGACGATTAGAGTTGTTCGTTTTAATTCGGATGGGATTGCAATTGGGTCGTTTGTGTAAAGACCCGAAATTTAAAGGAAACAAATTCATATTTTAATGGCAAAAACAAACAATAATGTTAGGGTTACATTCCTTACACAGTAAATTATAGTGCCCAATAGGATTATGAAAATGTCCTTTTTACAGCAGTTTGTAAAAAAAAATTAAATAAATGATTGAAAACAAGTAAATAAATGTCCTATGGGGTTAACCTCCACTAGCACTTAATGGAGTTCGGGAGGTAATCTACTCACAACCCTCATGCTTATCAGGATCTGGATCTTATTTTTCTTAATATGAAATGGTTAATAGGAGGGTGAGCTATACTACCCTAGTAAGAATATTACACTAAATACTGATATAGAAACCAAAGGTTGGTAAAAATCATAAAATAACTAATGAAGTTCTTAATTTAAGTAAATTCATTTAACATCAAACTGTTTATTCCATATCCATCGTTACAAATTTTTTAAAATCAATATATAAAGACAATAATTCAAATAACATTATAATTTCATATACAAGTAGATAAGAACATCAATTTTTCTTTTTAACTGCTTATTGGAACCTCTAAGGGTCCATAGGGATATTCCTCTACTCGTGAACTCAATATTCAGATTCTATCAATTAACTCATCCGTCCCATACCCCGTCAATAATGGGCGTCAAACATACCATCGCTTCGATATCCCATCCGGTATGAGGGTGAATCATATCTCTCAAACCCTTCCGGTATGGGACTTCTCTGCCCCGTCCAACTGAAGTGATGTCCACAATAGGATTTCCTATGTACTGAATCCGTCTACCCTTTTCTATAGTACCCAGTAAGCCTTTATTACATAGATTCATACCATAAATCGATTATCAGTTGCATACCAATATCTTATGTTTACAGATCAACAGTAAGTCATGTAATAGGTGATACGTATATAAAGAAACATAATTGAGACATTTATTACAAAATCAACCAACAATTGGGGATATGCAGTGAGGTAAACTAAATAACCGAGAAAGCAATTAAGACTAACAATTTAATACACATAATATAATAGTAAGCATTTTAAGCAGTTCAAAAAAAATAAATAATAAACCAGGGCAAAT